TTTTGGAACCTATGTAATAAATAAATAACCATAGTAAATTTTCTTAAATTAATCATGTAAATAATAATAATAATAATAACTATTTAATTTAATAAAAACTAGAAAAAAAGAGAGCAAGGGAGAGATAGTTTGATATGTGTATCTTTTATACCCTTTTAGTATTTTTAAGGGGTGTTTAGGATTGTTTATAAAAATAACTTATTCACTTATTTCGATATGACACCGATAATAAGCACTTTTGAGTGTTTTGATAAATAACTTATACCGGTGCCAAACCGGTAATAAGAAGTTTTTTTAGAAGATAAACCCTTTAACTTATAATAAATTGATAAATGATTTTGTAGAAAAAATAAGTTGTTTCAGATAAGCAATCGCAAACACCTTAGAGATGCACCTTAATTCATCTACACATATAACAAACCCTACTTATACTTACGTAGGTGCTGCTGGCTTCGACATTTCTGCCTTCGGTTCTGCTACTGGCTTTGGTGCTTTTGGCTCTACTGGCTTCGGTTCTGCTATTGGCTTTGGTGCTTCTGGCTTCGGTTCTGCTGGCCTTGGTGCTTTTGGCTTCGGTGCTTTTGGCTTCGGTGCTTCTGGCTCTGCTGGCTTCGATTTTTCATCTGGCAGCTCTTTTTGAATGCTTAACCGTTGTCTTATTTCAATGTATACATCCATCATAGTAAAAAGCACGTAATTTTTATAAATAGCACCAACTAAGAGCAACACTATTGCGAAGCTCCGTCCCAATTTTGTTGAGAAACATTTTTCCGTACCTGCGCTCGTGATCGTTATACTGATACAATACACGGCACGAACAAAGTGCAAATCCTCGGTCAGAATCACGATAACCGTCCCAGCAACCATCACGACCACAAAGTAGACCGCTACGCTTTTGCCTTTTCTTTTGATCAATTTCCGTTTCAATTCCTTGGCAGTATCAGTATTTCGATCGTCACCTGACTTAATATCACGCCGTCTAAGTTCCTGTTGGTTGGCTAAAAATGTCGAACCCATACTTAGCAGTAGCCCGAAAAGGAACATACCCAAGAGCCTGAAGAGCGAAGCAAGTGTTAACGCAAAAGGGCCTTCGTTAGGATGAAGGTCTCCATAACCAGCAGAAGTCATTGTAATAATGGCGAAATAAACAATATCAAGGAAGCTGTTTGTTTTTACTTCTCCAGATATCTAGTAACTTACTGCATAAAAGATTACCATACTGAAACCCAAGTAGCCAACCAAGTAGATGAATATCTCCCATAAATCATCTAAATTTAGGTACTTTAGTAGTTTATCTTCGATCGATGAAGCTTTGTCTTTATCGCTGTCTCCGAGTCCTAATTGAAAACAATTCAAAGCTAGCTTCGTTATCAATATCAATTGTTGATCAACCGCAAACAAGAGTATTAACGATTGTTGATTAAGACATATACAATATCGCACACGTACCCAACTTTTCGTTAATGTTAGCTTCCATGCCTATCTTGCGCAACTTCTCGATCTCCTTGGCGAATAATAGGATAAATTCTTCTTCCCTATATATGAAATTACCAATTAACATAATGTACATAGTGTGTTTTATGGTTGCTTATTGTACTCACCTCATATGGCCATCAGCATCAAGATCATCACTTGGCTGCAAGCCTGCAATTGCAGGATTTTCTTGTAAACTCTTTTTCGCTAAGACCCATTTGCTTCTTTGAGTCCATGCTTCCGTAAAAGCGTAGAGCATCCAACTTAAAGTAATCATTCCGAATAATATCCAGATTACTGCGAAGATGCGTCTATCTTTTGTTGAGAAGCATTCCTCGTCACTTAAAACGGTTGTAATTGTCGAAGAGACACAATATAATGCGCGGAAAAAGTTCATATTCCCGATTGAAACCAAGAAAACGATCCCACCAGCCATATGCACCGCAAGCAAGACCACCCCCTCCTTCCACTTTATTTTAGCTACTCTCAAATACGACAACTCTGGATCCTGCTTCAATTTCTGAAGTATCATCCTTAGATTCAGTTGGCTGTCTAGAAAGATTTTTGCACTGAGACTCATTAGTGCCCCAAAAACGACTACACCCGTGAGGGCGAAGAAAGTGGCAAATAGTATTGCGATATCGCTATCGGGAGTAAGGTCTTTATACCCATTTGAAGTGAGTAAAACAACAGTGACATAAAAAGTATCAAGGACGCTGTTTATTTTGCTTCCAGAAAATTGGTGTATGACGAAATAAAAGCATATCCAGGCAACGCCAATGTAGGCAAGACAAATGATGGTTCCTATAAACAAATACCAAACAGTGTGGATCAAATCAAAAGGTGTCTCAGCTTTCGTTGATGAACCTTGCTTTCCATCATTGGATGCCATGGCAGGTAGCTCCGTGTGCACCACCTGTTAATTAAGAGTCCTAAGTAACTGATCAATGCTTAAATGTCATTAAAGTACCTCTGTAAAGCTAGTTATAATATGAAAACCAGATGTTAGAAAGTTAAGGGGGACGACGACACTGTTGTCACTTCTCAGTACTTCAATGAATGGCAGATCGATACGAGATTGAATGAGATTCAAAACAAAGGATCATAACTTGTAGCCCCTACCCCTTCATATGTCAAATTACATGTGATATTTATATCTTATCTAATAATCGTTGTGGTAATGATGTGGATGTCCTTTTTACGCAAACCCCTTCACTACAATAAGTGTTTTAAGTACACTTTTAAAGTTTATATGATCAAATAATTGCATGTCATATATAAAAAGCATACTATAAACTATAAGCTTATTGCAATTTCCAATACTTAAAGTTTATACGGGAATTCTACTCTCTTTTGTGATGATGTTTGGTTGCGAGATTGCTCTCTTAACGTGCAATTTCCAAGGGTATATGCGCTTGATTGTGAGAAATCAACACTGGTTCGATTGGTCGTGGGAATTGGGGCTTGGTTTTGCTTAGACTGCCGAAAGGGGGGGTTGAAGATTTGTAGATGTCAGCTTTACGAGAGATTCTAGTCAGGATCTCTGATCAAAGAGATAGATGGTTTTGGTCTCTCGATGGTTCGGATGAGTTCTCGGTGGCTTATATACGCTCGTAATGACTCTAAAATTTTGGTGATATATCATTCTTCTACTAGATGGAATCGGCTTGTTCCTATAAAGATTAATGTCTTTGTTTGGTGGTTGGGCTTGAACAAAATTCCAACTCAAGACAATCTTCATAAAAGAGGAATTGATCTGCATTCCTTCTTATGCCCGATTTGCGGTTTGGAAATTGAATCAGTGGATCATTTGTTCTTTTCTTGTCAAATGGCCCATGATATTTGAAAGCAAATTTGTCGAAGGTGCGATTTGGATATTCCGGAGTTTAATTCCAATTTGGATCGGATTGGTTGGTTATTAACCTTGTGATTAAAGAAAGTGGAGTCGGCTTTTTTTAGAGACGGTCATTTCACTACTAAAAAAAGGGTATCACCGACGGACTTTTCTGGCGGAATTTCCGTCGGAAAAATTCCCGACAGATCCCAAAAAAGTCAACTTTTATCCACGTTCGCCACAAATCTTCCACTGAATTTTTGAATTTTTTTTTAATTATTTAAAATGGTTTTTCAACGGATTTGTGACATATTTTATTATTAAAAACCGTCACAAATTCGTCGCAAAATTGGTCTAATTTATTTAAATTAATTAATTAACGTTAATCGATAAAATTTCCGACTTTCGTCGGAAATTTTTAGTCTTTATATATATATATATATATATATATATTTGGTAAAAAAAATAACAATAAAACATTTTTTCTGTTAAAAATTATTGACGGAATATAATTTTTAATAAAAAAATTAAATTTCGTTGGTAATTTTAACATTTTTTTATTTTTTTTCCAAGTTAATATTACCGACGGAATATAATTGTTTTTATTAAAAATTATATTCCTTCAATAATTTTCAAAGTTTTTTTTATTTTTTTTCCAAGTTAATATTATTGACGGAATATAATTTTTAACTTTTTATTAAAAATTATATTCTGTCAGATATCCGTCGGTAATTTTTGAAGTTTTTTATTTATTTTTCCCAAGTTAAAAATTACCGACGGATTATAATTTTTAATTAAAAAAATTATATTTCGTCGGAAATCCATCCGTAATTTTAAACTTGGAAAAATGGTTTATTTTAAATTGTTTTCCCAGTTTAATTTATTAAAAACTTTTTTCTTAAACATTACCAACGGAGTAGTCGTATGTTCAATTCAGTTGCATTTAATGGATCTATTGGCTTTATTCGGTTCAATTGGGCTTTTATATGTATTCAGATCTTTTCGGTATAGCATGTCTAATAGAAGAAGTATCAAGCCCCTTATAAGGCAACCCTTGTTCCCTTCCCCAACCAATGTGAGATCTTACGATAATCACTACACTTGATACCGACTTGTAACACCCTAAAATATGGAAATATCGACTAATTTAAAATTTTCATAAAACATCAAATAAGAAATTAAACCCCTTTCTAAAGTCAACGGTTGATCATCTACAACGACAATCTTTGTTTTAACATCAATGCATAATATTCTAAAACTTTACATAAAACTATATTTAAGGGGGGGTGTTACAGAAACCCATTAGTCGTTATTATCTTCAAAGTACGGAAGACGTCACCAATTAGCTAGATTATTCTTGTGCCTCTAACTACAACTCAATTCAACATAGCGTCGCTAGTACCAATCCAAAATGAGAACCTGATGCACACGCTGACAAATAAAAAAGGTTAGACTTAACGCCTAATGAATTCAAACAGTTATCATCTTTAATACAAAATAGTAAAATTGGAAAAGATGTTATTTAAATCATATCTCCAAAATGAAATGTATCTACTATAAAAAAATCTTTCCCAAAACCGTCATTTTCGTGATGAAAACTTGTTGATCAAGACACCCATTTAAAATGAAGTCAAAACCCAATACTCACCCAGAAAGTCAATAAGATTTAAAATTCAAATACTGAACACATGGACAAAACTCTATTATACAAGACATCCAAAGAACATGGAAAAGGTTTAATGCCCAAAACAAAAAAAGCACGAATAAGTTCCAGATACCAAAACCATAAAGTGTGGATACACTTCGTACCCAAAACAACACTGAAAATATGGATATTACACTATCTAGAAATAACACATTTTGGTGATGGGGGAGATCCATTTCTATCACGTGGCGGAACACTAAGTAAGCTACATTGAGATGTTGATGAGCAAATTACCCTAGCATACAAGCCTTGGTAATTACTCTATTTGGGCTAAGTAAGAACATCAAAACTCCTTATTTAGTCATTCACCAAGTTACAAGATGAGAACATCAAAGCTCCTCACTTGCCTAAAATCAGAGGTTCTAAAGCAAGAACATCAAAATTTCTCATTTGTCACAAACCAACTATATCAATAAGAGAACCTCAAAACTTTTCTCTTGGCACAACCAAAGGCTCAAGCTGAGAACATCAAAACTCATCGGTTGGCTAAACTTTATGGTCCCAAGATGAGAACATCAAAACTCCTCGCTTGGCAAAACACGACTGACACATATGCCTATGGATCCAATGTATTACGATCTAAATCACATAACTCGTACTGAATGATCAACGCACTCAAAACTTGTAATTTACCAAATAAATATGCTTTTCAAATGTCTCCAAGACTCATCTGATTCAAAACCGAGTCAAAATCTCAAGAATTTACACTACTAGAAAACCATGTATCAACGACGAATATCAACGAGGGAAAAAAATCCCTTGGAGATCAGCGAGGGAATATGTTTTTGGTCATTTCCGTTGATCCCTCGCTGATCTGCGAGGGATCAGCGAGGGAATGACTTTCTGGTCTATCCGTCGCTGATCCGTCGCTGATATATTCTCTCGCTGATCCGTCGCTTATATATTCCTTAGCTGATCTGTCGCTGAAAGTATCCCTCGCAAATCCATCGCTGATATCCCTCGCTGATAGCACTACCTACGAGCATTTGACCGACGGAGTATCAGTGACGGATTAGCGACGGATAACCCTTTTAGCAACGGATTAGCGAGAGAATTTTCCCTCGCTGATACTCTGCATTTTTGTAGTGTGATCAATTGACTATTCAATAAAAGTCGATATAAATCAACAAAATGTAAATACTTAGCGTTCGGGCCACTTATTCATCATGGTTTGAAAATCAACACCAAGAACTCAATGATCGAGCAAAAATCCCAAAATGGATATTTATATAAAATTTAAGTCATTAAGCTTTTCACTTGTTGGACTGATTCAAAACGAGTCTTTATGAACTGCAAAATGCATTGAAAGAGGTTTAATACATATCATGACTCAGAGTATCACCAAGGCCAACAAGGCTAAATCATGCCTGTTATTAGAATGATTTAAGATAACAAATGCATTATCTTCAAGTAACCTCAAATGGCAATAAACCATAAAAACCCTCAAACTCTTGATTTATTGTCAAATATCCAAAAATCCCAAATAGATGTATTTCTTAAGATTTTATAAAATCAAATGTACCAAAGATGTACATTTCATTAGATAATCAACACATTTGATAAATATTTTAAGTCTCCAAAATAGATATTTTTGCAATGTATAAAGTTTTCACAAAGTAATTGGAACTCACCTTGCTAGGTTAAGTTGAACCTAGGACCCAAACTCATCTCTAGCTTTCAAAATGGTAAAGGATTTAGATCCACAAACATCCGGCTCGAGAAACTTTATTTGGGTCCCAACCAAGCCTAGAATGTGCCAAAAATAACCCCATAATCATATCCTTGACAAACTTTAGTCAAATCACCACAAATCAAGAGGGGTGTGATCTAGGAGGTTAAATCAAAGATTTTGACATGAATAAAGGTTTAGAAAGGTTGGGATGAACTTACAGATCACTTTTTAGGAATACCCAAAAACTAGGTCAACAATGGTGGAAAAAAGGTGAAGAAGATGAATCTTGAAGATTTAATCACAACACTTGATATTTAGGAATCAAAACTCTGAAATGCTAAGAAGTGCTTAAAATCGGTGCCTTAAATGCTTTTAAGATGAAGAGAAACAGTGAAGAAGAGAGTTGGTGTGGCAAAAGTGAAGAGAAAAGGGTAAAATCTTGTTTTTAAACAAAACCAACAGCCCCCTCCCAGCTTAAATTTTCTGCCTAACCTCCCTAGCTAGGTGTGAAAAATCTTCGCGGGTGCGAAACGTGTTGATATTTCAATCCTTGGTTATGTTTTTATGAGATCTTTTTTTCTTATTTCATACCAAAAACATAACCAATTTTCAAAATACTGGAACTATTCAATTCTAAGAGTAAAAATAAATACACTATACCAAAAATCCAGGTGTTACACA